AAGTATCAAAGATGCACACAGTATAACAAATATTCAGGATTATGGTGTTCTCAAATAAAATCACTTTGTCTTCTGTGAGCAGATGCAAGTCTACTTCTAAATCTGCTAATATCATGAAAGCCCCAAATAAACAAAGCTCTGTTTGAATGTTTAAGTATTTAAAAGTCTGTTATACATATAGCTTAAAGTCTCCATCCAGCGTAGAAGCTATGTGATCTTCAGTCTTGTGCATGTGTCTAGTTGTATATATTTGTTCTTCATAAATAGTTGTTAACAGGTGTCTTGTTAAATGACTCTATAAAGTATCAAAGATGCACACAGTATAACAAATATTCAGGATTATGGTGTTCTCAAATAAAATCACTTTGTCTTCTGTGAGCAGATGCAAGTCTACTTCTAAATCTGCTAATATCATGAAAGCCCCAAATAAACAAAGCTCTGTTTGAATGTTTAAGTATTTAAAAGTCTGTTATACATATAGCTTAAAGTCTCCATCCAGCGTAGAAGCTATGTGATCTTCAGTCTTGTGCATGTGTCTAGTTGTATATATTTGTTCTTGCTAATGTAAAATCAAAATATCATAAATCCATGCTAATGACTGAGTCCTATTATGAATTATTCATTTTTCTAATTCCTGATTGAGATAAAATGCAATAGTTTGTTGATTTTATTATAACTGCATTCTAGATTTAATTATTCATAAGATCATAACAAAAGGCAATATATTTTGTAAATATGACTGCTTAATAGTATGGCACTTCAGTACGGCAATCTGATACTGAATCTTTAGTGAGGAATGAGTAATTAATTTTTATTTGAATTATAAATCATGTAGATTACTACTGCTTTCTTGTGTTTTAAACCTAGCAATACTGTAGCAACAAATGTGTTTCAGCACTTGGTAAAATGAATGGAGTTTCCACCAAGGGACCAAATTAAAACTATGTTGAAAAACTGTTTTATAGCAATGTTTTGTAATTATCTGGTACCAGGTGTATTTCCTGCCTATTTTAACTGCACATATCATCCCTCTCATGTCATATAGCAACTCTTACACGTAATACAGCTTTCAAGGCTCAAGTATATTTTTAACAGTGTTAATATGCTGCATAAAATGAAAGCATTGCATAGACTGAAGTCCAGTTGCAGTTTGTTATGGTGCTGTGTGCCCTTGTGTGGGAGCATGAATGTGGCGATGTGGGAGGACAGAAATGGCTTTGGTTGTCAAAACCCCTCTGCAGCTGGGCTGCGCGGGGTGAGGGTGCAATGGCTTCAAGTCTGTTTTGGGTTGTCTCTCCCCAAAGCCTTAAGGAAAACAAAGTAAAATTTACAAAAGTGTGACATGCACCCTCTTTCCTCCCTTGCTCCTTTTTTTCCCAACATATAAATAAGGACTTAGGGTAGAGGTGAAGCTCTCTGTGCCACAATCTCATCTGCAGTCCTTACTGTGCACGTGATTTTTTCTGCGGCATTCACTTGCCGTAATGCTTCTCCCCTTCTCTTTGTAACCTAATGGAGTCGCACAGCTGGAGTTTGTGGGCACAAAAAGGCTGGGTTTTGGCCTGGAAGCCCAACTCTCCCTCTTAGTGTCAACTGTCAAAACGGTTACTACTTTTTTGGAGTTACTGTTGATTGATGAAAAAATAAAAAAATGCGGAAGGGCTGGGGCAGAAGGGCAGTCGGGTGGTAGTGGTGCAGGGTTTGATGCTCCAGGCCACAAGGTTGCTGCTGGTTTGGGCACACGTGGCTGCAGCTGTGAGGAGCTGTGTCTTGTCACTTGCTGTAATCTCCTCCCCTCACCCATCCATCCGAGTTAGTGATGAAGGCGGTATTTTTCCACAGACCATTTTCCCTTTTCAGTAAAAAAAGTCATTAAAAAGTTGAAATATATTTACCAAGAAGCATGGTTTGGAAATGCTTAATGTTCCCATCTGCCCACAGGGGTGGGCCCCATGTTGGAAACGAAGTTCCCGCTGCGCAGCCGGGAGTAGAGCGTGAGGCAGCAGCCCCCACAGAGCCCCCCTCACCTCCGCACGTGGCTCAGGCTTGGCCCCGAGCTCACCTGCAGGAGGAGCGGGGGCAATCCTACCTGTCCTTGGTACCATGGCTTAATCGTATTGCAAGATTATCCGCCAAACAGTGTTTCATCTGGCTACTGGAGTGGACAACGCTGCTCAGCAAAATCAAACTCAGGTCTGTTAAGGCACTGCTATAGAGTGTGTGAAGTGAACCCTACTGGGGGTCAAAGAACACAGAAGGAAATGGAATTTGGTAATTTTTCTCCCGTGAGATCTTGGTCAGTCATGGGACATGTATTCTTTCTTTCTCTCCCTCTTTTTCCCTCCTGTTAGATACAGTTTCTTAAAGTTGTTTTCTCATGAGCAGAAATTTCATGATCACAAGCACTATGTTTTAGTATGTTTAATTTTTCTAGTTGCTTCTTACAAAGCAAGCCATGCTGGTGATGAGAACTTTCCAGTTTCCAAAATGTAATATTATCTCCTAAATTAACTGTAACAAGTACAAAGGAATAGTCTTCTACTGAGGAGGTTTGTATTATTTGTGTAAGTGCCAGTATTTTTTAAGATTGAAGATAGCACTACACTTCACTTAAACTTCTTACCCTTGGTATCTAATGACAACTCAGGTCTACAAGACACTATATAAAGTTCTTCTACTATTGTTTGAAACATAGAGTAAGTGCTGTAAATACGTGACAGCAGAAATCTGCTGGTAACGCAGGCTGTCTCTGTTTCTTCTGAATTGTGCATCATGGATACCCAGATGTTTTCAGTTGTAGCCATTTCTAAAAATGTCTCACTTATAGTGTTACAATTTTGCAAAGAAAAATTATTTGGCTTGATACCATATACCAAATGCAGACAAAACAAAGGATTCTGTTAACTTTTTCATCAAATCTGGCAGTTTTCATCAGAAACTGCCATCTAATGCTGCTGTCAACATGCAGGAGGAAAAGGTTCTTGGTTCAGATGGGATGACTCCTATCAACCGTAACACAATTCCCTGACAGACCAAAATTGTGCAAGGCCAGTCTAGCAGAGGCTGGCTTCCAAATGTTTAGTGTTGTTGCCGAGTCTCGACAGGAGAGCACTGCACCTTCAGCAGTGCCATTCTGCAGCAATGACTTTTTTCCTAAGACCCTTGTAGAGAAAGAGGTTCCCCACTCCCACGGTAAGCAGAACTGATTCAGGAGGGATTTATCTAAAAACTGGCTGAGGGATCTTGAAAATACATTGTTCTGCAGTGTGGATTGCTGAGTGTTGGTCAGGGAGTGCTTAGATGTGGAGCTACCCAAGGTCCATTGCACCCACACATCTCCTACAACTCAAATTTGAGGTGGTTTTGTCTTGTTTTCTCTTAATGGTAACACCAACCCGTGCCAGAGACTGGTCTGGAAGGATGAATAAAATGCACGAAATGTTCCTTATATCCATATAAATGGCTTTAAAAGGAACTGGAGCACTTCTGATGAGCCAGTGGAGCTGCTCCAACTCATCAACACAGGGCCATTGATTCTTCGTGGAGAAAGCAGAGCCCTGTGGTCTGATAGACCATCTTTATTATGTGTATTGACACGTATATCAATACTGTGAAATCACAGCCCCCAAGCATTTGTAATGTACCTCATGTCTCTCTAAAAGGCATCTCTTAATAATTTTCTTACCTGATATCTGCGTAACTGTTCCCAAAGCAGACAGCTCCTGCTGTGGACCCATTAGCTGGTAAGGGGGAGACCACATGCTTTGTGCGATGGAGCCCATCCACTGCGTGAGCAGTCGCAGGAGAAATCTTCCTAATGACACAGCACAGCGCTTGCCAGCTGCTGCCACGGAGCGGGCTCCTTGCACCTCAGCATCAGTTTAGTTGGCTTATGTTAGTGTTTGTTTGGTGTTTGCACCCCAGTAGCATGGCAAATGTCCCATTATGAAGTAAACTCCTGCACAGACTCCAAAAAATACTGTTTCTGCCCAGTCTGATGTGACCTGAGTCTGTTCTATACAGTAGGTATATAGTATATTGCAAATCCACTAGTTTAAGTCATATTTCACTGTAACCTGAAAATTTACATCTTAAGTGGAAATCCACAAGGAGAAATGTAAAAACTAGTGCAGCATTCTACATGTCCATCTCTTTTACTACATCTTAGTGCCAGTGTTTTACATGAGCTCATTAGCAGAGTCAGAGTTATGTCTCTAACCCTTTTCATTATGGTTTTAAACCAGCTGAAGCCTCGAATTCAGCCGTAGGGCACTCTAGGTATATGTACTCTAAGTAATTCTGAGGAGTAAAATTTCGTATCTCATGGAAACAATTTCTTAACGCTACATATGTCAAACCTTCTAAAAGCACCCTTGCTAAATACTAAGAACTTTAAGGGACCATGACAAGGAATGTGTTTCGGTTTGTTGTTACTCATTAGTGAAACTTCATATTTACAATTTGGTGTAAGAGAACTACTGAGGCTTGTGTGTGCCATATGCTGAGCTTGTGTACACTCTGTGTGCTGTATTTCATTTGTTGTGAACTTTACTTGGACACCTTCATGGTAGCCTAGCTAGTGGTGGTGAAGGCACTGTTACAACAGCATAATGACTTATTAAATCAACTTGCATTAAGTGACCAAGCATGATTTTTCAGGGTTTTTTTGTTCAGAGATGTCAAAGGTGGAGTCGTCTTCAAACCAGTTATGTCTTTTATTGTATTTAAAACTATAATTTGCTTCTGCTGTTCCTGCCTGAAAGACATTACCAGGTGATCAATTATATCAAGATACTGCAGGTATCAATTGCCTCTTTCTTTTTTTGCATATAACCAAATGAAATGTGGAAAGAAAAAAAAAAAAGAAGAAAAAGCTCAACTATTGTTATTTTAAAGATCATCTCAATTAAGAAAACAGAGCTAAAACCAATCGATTCCATACAAAAAATTCTGGGTGTGTGTTTTATACAGGTTCCACGAAGGAATTGATTGAGAGCTGCTGTGGAGCTGGACAACAGTGGGCTATAGACAACGGGGAGTGCACAGAAATCCCTGTAAGTGGAATGGATGGTGATATTTGCAGGTACGTAAGGCAAAACCAAGCATTTTAGGTTAACATAGAGAGCAGCCCTTTAGAAGAAATCAAATGATTGTACAATTCATGGGATGTCCAGGAGACTGGGAACTGTTTCATTCATTGTATAAATTATTGGTAGACTGGCAATATGTATGTCATGGCAAATTAGAAGGCTTTCCCCCTCCCTTTCCCCAAAATCTAATCTAAACAAAAGGATTTAAACCTTTTAAGGTTTCTTTTCCTCTCTCACGTGAGCAGAGCACAAATTTTTGTTTCCCAGTTTTATGCGCATCTGTGGAGTTGCAGAAAAATAGAAGGTCAGAGTTTGTCTTCCATTTGGCAAGTGCTAAATGCAATGATTATCCGTATCATTAAATGATGTGTTTATTGTCCAGTATGAATGGCTGCTGGTTCCGATGTCTGTGTTCAGCTGGAGGGGGGACCATACGCTTTGATAATGCTGCTGGTATCAGTAGCATCTGGTCTGAGTGAGGGTGCCAGATTCAAACTGCACAGCAAGAAAAGAAGAATGGGTGCAGAGTAACACGGACGACATATTACGCTAGCTGCAATTCATCCCATCTCTCTCTCCTCCCCCCTAGTCTGAAACAGGCCTTAGGGAAGGATGAAGGCAAAGTTATCCGAGACTCACACGGTGCAACATAAGCCAGATGGATTTCTCTACGAGTGATCCCAACATTTTCAGCATTAAAAAAGTTTGGCATAATCAGTTTTATCAAAGTTAGTATCATTGCACCTTTCTGAAGTTACTGGGAGACTAAAATCCCCCCCACTGGGATCTGGCATGACATAACTGACACATACCAACTGTCCATGAAGTAAAGACAGATTAAAATATTCCAGCCTTGGCCTAAGTAGGTGCAAATCCAATACATTAATGAGTTGCACCTGCACATCTGAGGCTGGGTTTAGATGAAAAAGCCAGATCCTAAATGTTTCAGTCCTTGTGAATCTATTGGGATTTGAACAAATACGAGATCAGGAGTTCGGTTGTTTCACTTTCAAAATTTCAGTTCTGTCCCTGTTTTAAAGATTTAAAACCACCTGTAAATATTCTGTGTAAAGAAAACATTTCATGTGAAAAAGTATTCAAATCTGTGGCCTCAGAACCTTGAAAGCATTGACAAAAACTTACTGCTCCCACTGGGAGATGTGCCAGTGTGCAGAGCTGGTCACCATGCACGTACCCAAACCTCAAGTGCACCGTTTTGTGCGCCAGAATGCCTGCAAGTAACGCAAGCTCCCAAGAGTCTGCCGCTAACTTGACTCAGTATCTAAGGATTTGAAAAAGTAGAAGATAGATACTAATTGTAAAAATTAGTTACTGTTCTGCCAGGATAGTTGTCTATAAATACTTAGGTTTTACAAGTTTTACCATCGCTGCACTGAAAGGATTGATTTTTTTCAGGTGAGGCAAATGAATGAAGCCTCCCCTGTGTCTGCTGAGGCTGTAGATTGTTTATCTAGAGGTTGCAGATTGAGGTGTCTGTTGTTTCCAAATGCCATTTTGGGGTCTTCAAGTGGCAAAAACTTAAATGTTAAAGCTACTTGTTGATGTGTCTTGATGTCTCTGGACATTCATGTACCAACTTGGCCTATCTCTGTGTAGTGACCAACAACACTGACTGCAGGATGGGAACTGGGACTACCTAAAAGAGATCATGTGTAGTAACTAGATGAATGAAATTAAAATAAAGCAAGTTACAGGAAATCCTTAGATAGTCAGTTGATAGCCAGATGTAAAAATACTCCCAGACTTGTACCACTGGCTGTATCAGAAATAGGATGTTAGGCCAGATGAAATCTCATCTGTCCCGATACAGTAGTTTTTATCTCATAATTGATATGTGTTTTATCATAACAGAGCAATGTTTATCTGGGTGGCATTTGCACCAGTTGTACAAGTGTGAATCCTGCTTTTTGCTGACACTCTGTGTCCCAATTAGAGACTCACATCAGTTTAATACATTGACATCATTTCGCTGATCTTAACTCATTAACTCTTTCCCTAAAGCAGCAATGTTCTGAATCTTCCTTGAACCAACAACTCATTTATCTGGTCTGCGAAGAGTAGGTTTGTGAAGAAGAAACAAGAGAATGTGGTTAACACTGTTCCCAATTCATTTTCTGGTAATAGAGTAGCTGAAACTGAGCTGTGCTGATAGGTAAAGAAATACTAAAATAAAAAATGGCCAGTGATACTCCAGTGCTCCAGACAATACTGTTTCTACTATGTATTTCATACATGAAAGGAATTTCTCATGGCTAAATGTCACATTTCAGAAGCACATTAATCTATAGAGATTTCAGTATTTTAATACGGTAAACACTTTGCACATATAAAAATGCTTCTAGTAGCATTTTGTCATTTCTACAAATGATAATAATAATAACCATTCATTGCTCAAAAAATTGTATTTCTCCAGTTGGCAATTAACACTGGATTAGAAAACTAACTTCCTTGAAAACAAAGCACATGGAGGTGGTAATCCCCTTCCTGTAATCAAACTCAAACCACTGCTTCCTGGTTACACCTTTCTTATGCTATCCAGCATAAAAATATGAACGTAAAGCTGACGCAACAGGCCATCGGTATCGGGAAAGTGGCCAAGTGGCTGTCAATGGCTGGTTTCTACTGGAATAAGAGACATCCCTTTCCTTTTTTTTTTTTTTTTAATTGAAGCATTAGGATGAAAGCTGTGAATTGGAAATACACTCTTCTCAGAAAAGAAAAGGATTTGTTTCCTAGGAAAACTGTATTTTATTGCAGTAATAATGGTATCTGACTGACAAAAGTTGTTTGCTTGCAAACATTTCTGTTGCAGGAGAATTGCTTTGCTCTGAGGCACTGGCTGTTAAAATGCATCAACCTCCCGTTCGTCGTTACCCGGGTATCCCATAAGGCAGTGTGCCCTGTGACAATGCATCAGGAAAAGATAGTTAGACATCAAGGTTATTCTTGGAAAAAGAAAAACTTTGCTTAATTCCTTCATGCCACCAGATCTGTCCAGAACAGAAATTTACCCTTACTCATAGCATAATATATTATTTCATCTGAGTTTTAACACGTTCATCTGTGTCACATATGCCCAAGTCCAGAGGTCATGTACTCAACATAACCCCCTCAGGAGAATTCTTGTGGCCTGCAGCTCTCAGTCCTCACCCTTCCCCATCATAGGGGCCCTTCCCTATCCCGGGACCAGACACGCACCCCTCTTGGGGTGCTGCTAGTCTCCATGCTGTGTGGATTGAGAGACAGGGTCATGGAGTAAAGCCATGCCCTTTTGTATATGACCGAAAGAAGAAGGTACCTCTTTGAAGGGGCAGGGGGGAAATCCACTATAGACTTGAAAATAGTAGGGAAGAGTATTGTATTATTTCAATAAACATCTACTAAATTTCACTTAAGAATTTGCCATTTAGATTTTTAATCTGTTTCATTTCAACCTTCAGTGTATCTTGTTAAAATGTTTGATTTGAAGAGCCATATGTAGGAAATGAACATTCCCAAAGTACTTCATATACAGTGATCAAGTTACCCATAACCTTCTCTTTGATAACCAAAGTTAGAGGAAAGTTTAAATTCTGGGTTACAATCTGCGGGGCTATAAAGGAGACTTTATAGGGGTTTTGTGATGTGACACTTTCCTTAAGTCCTGTCCAGAGCTTCAGTCCTCTGGTTGGTGAAGAAGTAAGCGTGTACAGGTGTTTCCCTTTCCCCGCTTTCCAGGGAAGAAGGTTTCTGTCTGTTTTCTGTTTCTGAAAACTTCTGAGAAGCAAAACGTGGGGAAGAGGGATGATTGCACAAATATAGAATCATAGAATCATAGAATCATTAAGATTGGAAAAGACCTCTAAGATCATTGAGTCCAACTGTCGACCCAACACCACCATGCCCACTAAACCATGTCCCTAAGCGCCTCATCTACACGTCTTTTAAATACTTCCAGGGATGGGGACTCAACCACTTCCCTGGGCAGCCTGTTCCAATGTTTAACCACTCTTTCAGTAAAGAAATTTTTCCTCACGTCCAATCTAAACCTCCCCTGGTGCAACTTGAGGCCGTTTTCTCTTGTCCTATTGCTTGTTACTTGGGAGAAGAGACCGACCCCCCCCTCGCTACAACCTCCTTTCAGGGAGTTGTAGAGAGCGATGAGGTCTCCCCTCAGCCTCCTTTTCTCCAGGCTAAACAACCCCAGTTCCCTCAGCCGCTCCTCATCAGACTTATTCTCCAGACCCCTCACCAGCCTCGTTGCCCTTCTCTGGACACGCTCCAGCACCTCAACGTCCTTCTTGTAGTGAGGGGCCCAAAACTGAACACAGTATTCGAGGTGCGACCTCACCAGTGCCAAGTACAGGGGCACGATCACTTCCCTACTCCTGCTGGCCACACTATTTCTGATACAGGCCAGGATGCCATTGGCCTTCTTGGCTGCCTGGGCACACTGCTGGCTCATGGTCAGCCGGCTGTCGACCAACACCCCCAGGTCCTTTTCCACCAGGCAGCTTTCCAGCCACTCTTCCCCAAGCCTGTAGCGCTGCATGGGGTTGTTGTGGCCGAAGTGCAGGACCCAGCACTTGGCCTTGTTGAATCTCATACAGTTGGCCTCGGCCCATCGATCCAGCCTGTCCAGGTCCCTCTGTAGAGCCTTCCTACCCTCGAGCAGATCAACACTCCCGCCCAACTTGGTGTCATCTGCAAATTTACTGAGGGTGCACTTGATCCCCTCATCCAGATCATTGATAAAGATATTGAACAATAGATATATATACAGCTTATAGATAAGCTGTAAGGGATATTGGTGACCAGACTTTGAGAGACAGTGACCTAAACACAAGATTTCTTGAGCATTTATCAGTGCATCTTTTTATTAGAAATGACAAAAAAATATATCCTGCAAAGGTCAGTGGTACCACATGTATTATACTAGTATTGACACACGTCAAAGAGAGATCAAATCTGTGGAATATATTGTGAATCCAATAGGTCTGAGGGTTTTTGCATCCCATCCTGATGTCTTCTCAATGCCAGTGAACACTTGACCTCTGTGTTCCTTTGCAGAATTGCTCAGAAGCAGTGTTGCGTCTCCACCGTAAAGGAGAACAGCTGCCTGGCTGGCATGATTGCTGCGAAGGAAGGAGATGTGTGCGGACCAGAGGAAAGCGATCCCTGTGGAGGATCATCATATAAGGTAAGTTGCTCTGATGCTTCTATAGGTTTTGTTCCAAATATGAGGTAATTATGCTGTTTGCGTTTAGGTTTCAGTTGTCTGATGATGCAACCCCTTTTAAAACTTCACAGTAATGTTGTTTTGAATTATTTCCATCTCCATTTTTAAGATTTAACTTGCTGTATTACTTTTGCTTCCTCGCTTTGGAAGTAGCTGAAAAGACCATTTTAGTTTTTATATCTATGCTGTAGAAGAATTTAGAAAATGATAGGGCAAAACTTAATCGAAGATATAATGCGAAACCCGTTACTGAACAGTTTGCTTGGCTACAGTGTTGAATTGCAGCCTCATTTCTCAGTTAAACAAAATGATGGACTAGAGGAACAAGCATTTTAGATGATGATGGAAGCTTTTGTTCATAAATAAAGGCAGACCATTAACGAATGGTTCAAATCACAAATCGTGAGCCACAGCCTCAGCTTATATAAATGAGATTTGCTTTATGAGAATCACTGGAGCCAAACCAATTTAAGCCAGTTTGAAGATTCAGCATCTTGCTTGCTCGCTTGTCTTGTTTTTACCAGAAGGGTGCATTTCAGAATTCATTTCACTCTGATAATAATTTACATAGCTATATCTAAGCTTAAGTGCAGCTTCCGTTGTCTCAGCAGGAAACTGATTAGTTCTGTCTGTTCTTATACATTGGTGATTCTTGCGGATAATTGTTCACTGGAAAAGCAAAATACATGGATGTCTACCGCGGAGTTTAAAGTTTAATTAGGTATGCCAATTTGTCATCTTCAGAACTATTATTTACTTGGGTCTGGAGTCTACCATTAGAATAAAAATAGAATTTGTGCATTTGGGAGCAGGCATTAATATTTCTGAAGTGTGACAGAATTATTATTCTTAGGTTTCCACCGTGAGTCTTTTGCATGCCAGACAGAGCACAAGCCATAGAGTAAGGCTTATCACACATGCCATTCCTCAGGAGGAAGTGGAGAGGGAAAACGTCATCATTCCTGTCTGAACTGAAACAAGTTACACAATACTCTTGTGAAATAGCTCCTTGTGCCAGTTCCAATGTAATGCTTTCCTTCAAGAGAAACCATCTGAAATGGTAAAATTATCGAAGGAGCAGCTTTGCCCTCCTCTTTAGCTCCTAAGTCATTGCAGCTACTGCTTAAAAAAAATAGTAAAAATGAATAAATATTGAGACTGTTGAGACTTTAAGAAAGGCTTTCTAATTTTATTACAAACATTCTTTCAGAGGTGACCTGGCAGAAAATGCTGACAGTGAATAGCAGTGGTTCCCCTGATCTGCTCCGCTATTAGTGACTGCTGTGTCTGGGTGTCATAAATCACAGTAGTTTGTCTGGAATGTGGAAAGATAAGTTCATTGCCCCAAAGACTTTGCAAGACATTTACACCATTCTGCCAAAAACTAGGGGTTTTACTTACAGGTAACAAACGTGTGGAGGTCTTCTTCAGGCTTTTTAGGTGTGGGGTGCTTACTTTTTCTTCGAGATGAATGCAGCAGTGCCAGTTCTTTAGATCCAGGTATTCAGCTTGTGTTCAGTACAACTTAATCTTAGACTGATTTTACCTGTTACTTTAAGGTAAGCACATGCTTAGGGACTTTTTGCTAGTGGATGGAGATGCCACCATGGTAAATTCTGCTGGATTCCAGGAAAAATATTTTTGAGAGGAACATAGAAAGTTGTGAATTAAACAGTGGTTCTCAAGGCATGTTTCTCAATGTCAATGTAAAAATAGTCATATTTGTTATTAAATCAGTTGTAGAATCCTGGTGAAGTTCAAAAGGTGGCTAACAGAAGATCAAGGCATTCAAGTTTTGATGTTTTAGAAGGAACTTTTCGACAAACAAGTTTTTCCACTGGGAAATGAGACACTTGTATTCATCTGGAAGATATGTGAACCCAAAAGTGTGTGACTGATTTAATACTCTCTGTGATGCCTGCACATGGGATAAATTGTGAATCAAAACTATGACTGAAAAAAGCCATATTATTCAAGGCAAATATTCCAATATTTTACTGTACTTCAGTAAAAACATGTATTATCCTTAGCTTCTTTTATTTTGCATGTTGAAGCTGAAAAAATTGTACCAAAACTAAAAATACTTACAGAAAGTAGAATTTTCAGTTCATAAAATTTTGAACTTGGGGATTCTGGATTTGGGGAGGATGAAAACAGAATTTTTCTTTTCTAGCATGACCACAATCAATTATAGTTAGATTTTTTTTTTTAATACTCCTTTTGAAAAGATGACTTAGCCCCTTTAGTATAAAAAAATAATTCAGCATCTTCAGGACCTGTACTGTAAACTTTTCATAAACATGTATTTGGGCACGTAAAGGCAGCTCTTTATGGCTGTGCATATTTGCAAATGTGAATAACGTCTACCATTTACAATGTTTGGGGACTTTTCAGATTAGAAAGCAGGGACATAAAACATGAGCTGTAGTCATAGATACTGGGCTGAACATGCAAGGGGTACATATTGCATGTGAAATGCCCAAGAAATCCTAAAGCTACAGTGTTTGCATCTTGAAAAAGGTGGCTCAGCAGAAGAGTTTCTGCAGATTGAGCTGTTAGTGGACAATTTTCCTGTCTCCCTAGTGGAGGCAGACTCTGGGTAATGTGAATGCCAATCTAGGATTGCTAATCATGAAACATGATTCCTTTCCATTTCCAGACTGCGTCCAACCCTTACAACACTGCTTCTCTTATTTGCTCTCCTCAGGTCAGAGATCTCTCTCCTGGGAAGTGGGAGCTTAGTTCAGTTTTCTTCTGTTCCGTCCTTGGACTTTCTGTTGACATAGCTAACTGGTGCCAGTTTGAATTATGACCTTCATTTTATGTGTCTGACGCCTTTTCATAGACTGAATATCTGAATAGACTGAAATCACTTCTCTTGGTTCAGAGAGGCTGTTTCAATGTAGCTGCAAATTATAAATGAGTGCTGCTGGGCTGGATGTCTTGACTATCAAAGGAGTTGCGGAGGGAAAGAGACTCTGCATTTTATAACTATTCTGTCAGTGAAAGCATCTCTCTCTATATATCAGGGATGTCAGGACACTTACATTTAAATCCAGACAGGCATCTTCAATTCACATATGACCCCTGTATATCTCTGTAGAAGAGACTTACAACCCTTCAGCTTCCTTGCTTGATTAGGTATCCACTATGCATATGCAGTATGGACTTTTTTAATTTGGTATAATTTATCTGATGTATTTTTGTGGCCTGACTGTGCAATAGATTTGTATGTGACTGAGTAAAGCACAACACAGTTTTTGTCTGCCACCTGCAGCAGAGGAGACCGCAAGAGAGACTACATTTCAGGGGTGCACCATTGCATCAACCTGTCAGTGAAGCTGCTGCTTAGATGCACTCAGGAAAGAAAAGGAAGGCAAATAGCTCATAAAATATACCCTGGCCTTTCTCTAGCCACTGTCTCAGCGGGATGTTGTCCAGGACGGCCAGGTAATTAAAGGTCACAGTGGGTTTGCAGGGCAGTGGTGCGTAGAGGAAAGTATTTACTGAAATACTGATGGAGATCAGGTGCTGCTGCTGATCCTCATGTCCATGCAAGATATTTACAATTCCTTTCACATTGCTTCAACAACTAACCATTTTTTTGAGATCTAATGCGAAAAGGTATAGATCTGTATTATTTTGTTTATAATATACTATATGCAAAGCAATGGCTGTGTGCAAGAGCTGGAAACAGGTGATCTGCAGCACCACTACTTCCTTGCATGCGAAGTTGCTGAAATCATTGTCACAACGAGAGTTTGTGTTTAGCCTGGTTGCAGTTGACCCGTTTGTGCAGGGATGGCAAAAGCAAGCACAAGTAAAGCTTTGATGTTTGCGACTGTCTAAACCCTAAGTGCTTTTCCAGATGCTCCACTGTTAAAGAAAGTGCGAATCAGTTCCAGGTGTGTGTGTGGACTCATCCCTGAAGCGGACTGTATTAAATCCTTGTTACTGATAGTTGCCTTCTTTTACAGCAATGCTGCGATTGCTGTAATCTGGGCCTGCGATTAAGGAGTGAGGGGAAAACCTGTGAGTCCAACATAAATCTGGGCTACCCCTGCAGTCATGTGATGCTGTCCTGCTGTGAAGGGGGAGATCACTTTATCCATCCAGAAATAAAAAGGCATCCTGAACCTTTACCAACAGTAACACCTGAGAAGGGTAAGTGTCCATTTATGATTTGAAGACGTTGCAGATAAGGTCTCTGTCTCACACAGTCATATGGGGAGGTGCTGGAAGGATTAATGCTACAGGAGCACTGTTGCCTTCCCTCTCAGATCAAATATAGACTCCCTTGTTCTTAAAACAGTTCTGAGAAAGAAAAAAATATGTAGGTGTTTCTGATCCTGAAAACATACTTTCTTTAGTAGTTTGGGTTTTTGGTTCCCCCCAGCCTGAGTCACATAGTACAGAGACCTGCCACTAGCCTTGGTAAGAAGCAAAGGTGAAGCTGGTCTTGTCTTTTAGCAGAAGCAATCCTGAAAGATTCTGCATAAAGCAAATTATGAGTTTTTCCAGACAAAGTAGTCCCATGGATTATGATACCAATGAAACATCCTGGGAATAGATTTCCTATTGTACTGCTGAACATCACAGCAGCTTTCTCATGGCACACTCTGGAGAAGCCTCAGAGCACTGCAAGTTTGTTTTTACTCTTTCAACACATGAACATAGTGATGCTGAAGAGCTAAGTCAAATCCCTGCAGCCAAAGAGGCATGACAAAGGGAGCATGACAAATCTGGAGCTTGGACAGCTATGCTTCCTCCCTCAGCCCAAGGTCACACTCCTTCCAGCATGTAGCCACCTGTCATGCATGAGTTGCATGGTAACCTCCTGCATATGCTAGGGTTCAATTTTTGTCCATTTTCCATTGTCAAACTTGGTCAGGAAATGAAAAGGATAGCGCTTTTGCCAGTGTTTAAAAGCAGTAGGTAGGATAACCATGTCACTATTAAGTGGGTCCCAGAATGTTTGTAACGCTAGCTACAGAAGTAGCCAATAAATTAATGGTGGTGTTGAAAACTGGATAACTTTTCTCCTGAAATTAGAAATTCAGTGTGGTTCTTCAGTGGGGCCAATTTCAGATGGGGCTTCAATGTGATACCTTAATTCAAACAACAATAGCAGTGGCGCTAGTAGGCAGTGTGACAGGTGAGCTTGTGACCTCCCAGGGTCACCTTTTTCGTCAGCGGCTCCTGTAAAATGTCTGTCCCTCCAGCCTTATGGAAGGAGGTAGTGGACCTTCAGCACAATGGTCTTATCTTCAGGATGGCTTTGTGTGCTCTTGTCCTTGGAGTAACTGTTTTAGGTAGATTTGACTGTATCTGGAGTTTGTGTGAGCAAAAGCTCCATACTGTACAGTCCTAATGCTAAAACAGCTGGTAGAGAACCCACAAGTGTTGTTCTGTTGTAGTTTCAGAGACGGAAGGTCACAATGAAGCTTTGTCCATCAGTAATGAAGCTGAACTGTCAAATAACCTGCCTGGAGATGACCTGGATGAATGCCTTATCTACGGTGGGGAACTCTGTCAGCATTTGTGTATAAACACTGTGGGGTCCTACAAGTGTTCGTGTTTTCCAGAATTCACTTTGCAAGATGATGGAACCAGCTGCTCTCCAGGTGAGAAAATGGGCAGGAAACATCATGAATGATGGTGTCTTTGTGCCACCTGCATTGATCTACCAAGCTTTTCTTTAGTTTCTCTGTAGTTTCTGTGAGGTTTTTCTGTGAGGTTTTTTATGGGTACTGATGCTTGGACAATTTCTGTGGAAATTGGACAGGTTAATAACGTCAAGAAAAACAACCATTTAGGAAACTTAATTATGCCTCATTTTTGTGTATCGGTGGTGTGAGATCAGGGTGGTATTTAATATGTTCAAATTAAGACTGTTTTCACTTTTCAGAAGAGGATTTGTAAAGATTGTTAATGAAATACCTTTTCTTCTTAGAGTAATATTGTATTTCACGGTTAGCTTTCCTTTAGATAAACTTTACTCTGTTCAGACAGACAGCATTGCTTCCTGAACTTTGATTTTTATCTAAAATCATTAACATCTTTCAATGATACAAAAATCTAAATATATCTAGTGTGGTGGAAGTCTTGAAAAGAAAGTCTATTGTGTGGTAATTGTTTTGATGTCTGGAGTTCTCCAATGGCAAGATTCCAAATCAGATAAACCGAAAAGTTGAAACCTTATATTAGTTACAAGTGCTTTCAGTTATTTAACAAGCAAAATAAGTGTTGCCATCCAATGACAAAATTCCTTAGACTTCAAATACTTTCTGCCCAAGCCAAACAATGAGCATTCATTGTATCATTCTTCTCAACATGATGTTACAGCGCTTACATCAATAATGTGTTTGACAGTGTTTCTGTGGCATCTGTCTGCCTTGTTGTTTATATTAAAATTCTGGGGAAGGAGCCTAATCCAAAAGAAGTAAAGAAAATGGTTCTTATTTTAGCACTGCAAAATTTGGCTTGATCGCTCACCTGGAGCATATGTGTGTTTTTGTTTTGCTTTGCTTTGCTTCTCCCATTGCTAACTCTGTTGAAGTGCGGATTTGGGTTAATACATCTTGTATCTGGGTAGCCAGTACTCTTGGCAGATCTGCAAGGCTGCAGTGCTTATGGCTGTGCCAAGAGGGATTTACAGAGCTCAGTTGAGGTAGAGGATTGCGACGAGGGTAGGGGACTGCGAATGAGACATCTGAGACACATAGAAGAGTGAGGTGAGGAAGGGCTGCTACTGTCATTGAGGAGTCCTGGGTCAAATTAAAGGTCGGGTGAGGGAGAGGGCAGGGCAGGGCACCTCTCTCACTATGCTTGGCTAAACCGTATGTGCTCTACCTGGCAACGTGGCACAGTGGCCTTTTATTTCTCATTTTTCTTCTGTGTATGTGCGCATCTCTGTCATGTGGTCTGTGCATGGAGACCCACACCAGACAGTTTTAAATCTCATACTGTTGGTAATTTTTACTCCTGTGAGTAGATATAATGCTTTTGTGTTTGTACCTGTCCCAGTACATTTCCTGCTCTTTGCTGGACTGTGAATGTTTTTGTATTTAACTTTTGTTTTTTAAAATGTGTCACGCTTTTTCATGAGGCTTGGAAGAAGTGATGTTCTTGCAGTGGCTTTGTGAGGCAAGGAGAAAGCATACATTGATGAAACTGCAAAAGCTTCTTCTCTCTTCTCTGCTCTCTTTCTGGGGAAATCATTCAGGATATGCCACAAGCAAGTGACTTTTATTTGCCTCTGTGTCATAGCCCGTTGTATGTCTGTGATTTCGTTTACTTTTTTAAACGAAATTGCTCTTCCCGTACCCCAAATCTGTACTGCAATCACACTTAGTCGTTTAATGTTGTCATTGTTTGGTGGCTCACACTTTGCTCCAGGTGACACTTGAACTGAAATCAATAGGAACAGGACACATCCCTCTTAAGGAAGAAATTAGCCTTATGGATTTAGGCTTCCGTTTTGATGATATTGATAAACTGGATTACTCTTATTGATGTAACAGAGTTTTTTTTTTAACTATTCTGATACCTTTAACATTACTGTTTGTTGAAAATGTTAATGACAGATAGAAGCTGTCATGTTTTCCACTTAGCTGTGTAAAAGTCATTCCAGAGTATCCTGTGCTTGTAAAGGTGAGCATCTGCTTTCCATCTACCTTGAAATAGGATGTACAGAATAAGTTTAAAGACTTGTTTTGGGTTCGTTTTTTTTTTATCATATACCAAATGAAAGACAGCCAGTGTCTTTACAATATAGCAGCATTTTAGAAAATAAAATTAACGCTTTTAGTTTGATTCACTAGGTGTTGTGATATTTTACTCTACAGAAATTATTTTCAGCCAAGCTCCCTGATCTGTATCCATGACGTTTGTGAGCGTCTCCATTAGCACACAGCACTCTGCGTGTGTGTGCTGCCGGACAGTTGTTTATATCAAACAGATGGCAGCTTCCAAAACCGAGTATTCATCTCCATGCATAGACAGTTGTCCAGGCCACCAAATGTTTACTCCTACAAACCGTGATGGAGTGGGATGAATGGGCCTGGGACCCTTGCCGTGGGGTGCCTGGTGGAGATGATGATGTCCCTGATCTTTCTCTGCCTCCCTTGCCTTAACAGATCCTGACAAAGAACAGGTGACAAGGCTGGAAGCAGAAGCCACCATCCCTTCAGCAGCCTCTCCTTCTCAGCCTCTTCTCATCATGTCCTTACAAGAAGAGCAGGATAAGTGTAAAGGTATGTTGGAGGTGTAAACTGCAGATGCAGATGCAGATGAGTGAGGAATGTTTAGAGAGCCAGAATAAAATTCCACACATCCCTTCACCAATCTTATTTCAACGTACATCCTTAATTTGTTACCTCTGGCATAAGGCTGAGGAATTGTCAGGGGAAACCTGAGGAAGTAATTTGAGGCTATACTCTGATTTCAGAGTTGTTACACACCTGCTATTTAGTTTAAGGTAAGCAGTGCGGCTGTGCAGCATATTGTGAACAATACAGGTAGGAGTGGCACAGGTGTGTTTCTGTGTAATAGGAGGGTTGTAAACAGTGATTAGGGCTGCCCGGACAGATTGTTTACAAACTGCATTCCCCATTGCCTAAACTGGGATTATATTTGGATGACCTGGAGGTTTGTAACTGTGTTGTGAATGCTAATGTATTTTGCAATTTTGCTTTGTATAGATAATGGCCCCTGCAAGCACATCTGCAATATTGTGGAAGGAAATGTTGTATGCTCTTGCTTGTCTGGATATACTATCATGGCTGATGGAATTTCTTGTGAAGGTAAGTGGTTCAGGTTCACCACAGAGACATGGTTAAAACACTTCTATATAGATCTCATTGATATCATACCCCTAGGTGTTTCTCTAAGGGTTCCTTATTTTCAGTATTGTGAATTGCAAGTGGCATTACAGAGACCGTTTGGCAGGAGGAATACCAGATCTGCTTCACAGATAACTCCTGAAGCACGTCTATCCAGTGTGCCTATTACCTGGGGACTTCAGGTGAAGGCAAGCCTGGATTTGTGCTCTTTTCCTCTGACATTCCAGGCTTTTTTTCAGCCCTCTTGATTTCTCTTCCCACTACTCTTCCTCCCCAGGGTCTGTCTACACAGCTGTGGACACGCAGCTTTCCTTCCTGAGAATGGGAGCAGCTATAGCAGGATGTGGGCATGTTTGCTGTTCTGAGGAACCCCCTCAGAGCTACAGCTCTGCCCTGTCACCTGTTTTGTTTGTTTTTATTTCTGCTTGCCTTGAAAACCTGAATTCAATGAGGCTTCAGTCCTACGAAGAATGTGCTATTGTGAGCTGGTCCAGCTCCATGAGTTTCACTTGACACTGAAGCTCAGGCCTGCACAATGATGAACAGTGAATTCCAAAGCTGCATCATGATTGTTCACATTACATAAATTTTGGATGGACATGTTTGGGTAGTGACAAAGGATATATTTGCCCAGGAAAGACTGGGGGGTCAGAAGCAATGCCCTGTGACATGCCTTAATTATAAATCTGTAAGTATGGGAGCAATAACAGCCAGCAGTGAAATGCAAGTAGAAGCTTCTGATGCTCAGAATTGCTCACAAGTGATCCACATTGCTCTTAATCTCAGATGTTATTGAATAACAAATCATTTTAATGAAATTCCAGATAGTCTGTGAAGAAAATGGGAATTTAATATCACCAGATAAAATACTCACTGTGCATTGCTTACTCAAGTGTGGTGGAAGCTGATTTGATTAATTAATGTCAGAATCAAAAGGGGCATTTCAAGGCAATCGTATTCCTACAGGAGGTGAAAAAATTTGGAAATGTCAGTGGAAGTAGTGAGTTTAAATTGTAGCAAGGGACATTTATAATCTGTATTAAAGTAAGTATTTGATGGTAAGGGTGGTGGTGCACTGGAACAGGTTTCCTGCAAAGAGTGTGTGTTGCATCTGTGTGACTGCCTGTTTTTAAGAATGGCTCTTGATCTGGAATGACGAAAGTGTAGGGATGCAAGCAAGGACTAGATGATCTCTGTGGGTTTATTCCAGCCCTATTTTCAATGTAACACTGTATATATTATAGCATGGTGCCGATGTGGTAGCTCCAACACACTTCATTTAGGCATCTCCAGCGTGAAAGAAGTGTTGTTTCATTTCAGAAATTGTTCTAATAGAATTCTGTTTTTCCCTTTTGGTTGCAACTTGTTGATATAGATTTGGATGAGTGCCTCACAGGTGCTCACGCTTGTTCCAGAGGACAATTATGTGTGAACACATTGGGATCATTCTACTGTGTCAACCACAGAGTGATCTGTGCAGAGGGCTTTATACTCAACAGGCATAGAAAATGTGTTGGTAAGATGATAGGTATAAGCCGTTCACCACAGCATCATAATTCTTCATGCTCTGCAATGCATTTAAACCATTTGTGCTAAAAGACTCTCTGGCCATCTTTGCATATGACATTTCAATGTGAGTTAGTAAAAACACATGTGCACCATTTGCTCAGCCACTTAACATCATGAGTTGTATGCTACTTGGCTTTTTCCCTAGCAATACATTCTCAGGATACATATAACTTCGCTCAAAAGTCATAAAAGTTCATAGGTATGGTGACCACAGCAGTACTGATGACTATTAAACTGGACTAAGAAAACATAGCGGTTGATCTCTCTGGACAGTGTCAATACTGCCAAATCCCCAGACATCATGAAACAACAAAACTTCATAAATACAGCTCAAGAAATCTGCCTAAGTCTGGGCAGTGGAAAAGATCCATTCCAAAGTGATGGAATTATAAAATTCAGATTAGTCCTTTGTTGATTCTGGCACAAATTTCTTTGTGTAAAAGTCGAAGATGCGTCATAATTCTGCTGTATCATCCCTGCTATTTAAGTTCATATAAGAAACCAATCTATTCTTACAAGTGTATTTATAAGGATTTAATTTGCTTCAAAAAGCCAAGGCCTGAGCTTATGAAACAGTTTCTATTTGGGGTACTTTTCTAGAGGCTGGGTTAGGAGGCACCTGAGCTGCAGCAGTGTTGTGTGGTAACACCTGGAAAAACGGAGCACCTGGAGACCTCTAGTCATTAATGAAGGCAGCAATGCCTGTGAATATAATGTCATGTGTGAATACATTCGCCTTCTTCCACCCCTGTTCTTCTCCCTACATTTGTAATGTAGATTTTCTGACCATCACAGCTTTGGTTTTGTTCCTACCTTTTAAAGCTCTATGATCTCATCTTATTAATGAGTGTCATATGGCATGAGGGCATGAGCAGGAAAGTTTATACAGTGTCATAGTTTAGAGCAGAGATGTGGTTTACTATCTTCTGGGTTTTCCTTAAATTGTTGAAATTTGATTTTTTTTTTAATTATTATTATTTATTTTGAAATCAGAGATACTGGTAAGCATGGAAAACTAATGAAATTATTTAGTTTAAATTAAATGGCTGAGAGAACACCACTGGAAGGAAGGGTGCCTTTACAGAGAAAGTATCAGATTATGAGATGGAAGATGGTATTTGTAGTTGGCCACAGTCTGCATGGTGTGTTTCATGGCTTTCACAGAGCCTGCTGCATGTACCACACTTCTCAATAGAAGGTCCAGTAAGCGAGCAGCTGAAGGAACCGCCTCACCTTGCTTTCTGCTTCTGAAAATCTTGCCGCTTAATCCCTTGATGTTTTTCCTGGACTATGCAGTAGGGATGTATGTGTCCTTTTCTACATCTCGCAGGAGAGTTTTGAAACGAAATTAATGCATGTTTGTCAGCAACTTTGGCAGAAGGTGCTATAGAAGATGCCAAGTGCTTCCTTTTATTCACTTTCTTCCTCCACCCCATGACATTATAACAGGTTTTATTGTGACTGATAGAAGATAAACCTCAGGCATTGCTAATAAAATGAAAGATACAGCTCTCATTTGTAAAGCTAAAAGATCCCCTTCTCCCTCACTAAATAACAAACCTCTATTTCTCTAATGCAAGTCAGGTTTTTACAGGTAAACTTGTAAATAATATAGAAAACTTGGAAGTTTCTCTATCTTTTTGGATAGATATGCCCTGTGTTCTCCCTACTCATATACAGCTCTGCTCTGTGTGTGGTGCCTGGAGAACATTTGCCCTATTTAACATTTTTCCTACTTTTCTAGTCAAAGGGGAAAGCCACAAGCATACTGTGGTTTCTGTTTTGTTCAATTGCCTCATTGCAGCCATATTCGCCTAAGGTATTCTTTTCCAGCTTAACTGCTTTTGTGCTCCATCTTGAGCTATCTGAAACACCGTGAGGAAAGCTTTGGTAATTTGTTCACAAATTATTGTTGTTTTAATGATGTTACTCTTTGCATATTTTAGGGACGGGAGGAACAATCTTTGCACAGCAACAAAACAGCTGATAAGCTTTTATCTGTTGAATTTCCTTTAGTCAAACTGTGGAAGATTATAATTCCAGGTGCATTCAAGAGCAGATATCCAGAATTCCTGAAAGCCAAGCGTGCACAATGAAGAGTCACCAGCTGTTTAAATAGCTTGCACACACCAGCTTTGTGTAACTGTGTGAACAGATATTAAAATGTCTTTAGGCTTGAAAGCTCCATGTTCTCCAGAGATAAGAGCCAGGTTGGATGTTTTTAATGTGGATTGCTTTTCCTGGTGACTTTCAGGCAAAGTCATTACCACCACCCACATGCACACTGACGGGAGACTAGTTTGCTACTTTCTTTGCTACTCCCATCTAAATTTTCCCTCCTGCCAGAGTGAGCAGTAAGTGGTCATTTTATTGCTGAACCATAGAGACTGTGCATGAGCACAGGATGGGTGGTTGCAAAATAACAACAGGACTACATTAAACAGATGTGTTCCATAAAACAAATTGAGCTGAAGTAATTTGAAGAGGAAAAAAAAATCATGAGAAACTACAGATGCAGAACAAAAAAAGTCTGCATTTCACATTTTTATAAAACATGCATAAAAATTAATTTTTAATGTCAAAGTACATATTGAAAAAAATAGCCCTGGGTAAATGTTGATATTGCTTTGCAAAAATGTCAGCTTCTTAGATGCAACAGATATGCTCAGGGATCATCTATATGTTGCTGTTTTCAACAACAATTCTAGGGAAGAAAAGACATATTACACAATTACATTTCATTCTGTTTTTTACTGACATAAAGTGAGGAATGTTGTTGCCACACACATAGACCTAGTAGATTTCTCAAAAATTAACTGTGTGACTTGTTTTTAATATATTACTGAATTATTTTTCCTCTTATTCCTGGTTTTTTTTTATAAATAGAATCTTGCCCTATGTCACAGTCTTAATTGTGTTGGATGAAGACTATAGCTGGTCCAATGTTGGGAATTAACTTTGTTTCAAACTGAAAACATAACTCATATTTTTCCTAGCGCTCTGTCAAGCATCTTACTGACTTGTTGAGTTGGTTTCCAGTACTGAAGAGAGACAGGTTATGGGCACTCTTGATTTTATGGATAATCAACAGGGAGGAAAAAAGGAGAGAGAGATTGTCCTGTTTTATAAAAATGTATTCAGTCCTCACTCCCCTCTACCTCGTGCCATAATGGTAGAGCAAAATGATACTAGGTACAGCCTGGGCTGAACAGAGCTAGTGCAGGAGCTCATGTGCTGCCGCAGCACAAACTGGGACCATATTCCCAAAGATGCCTTTTCCCGCTCATGCTGAGGGACATTGTGTTGCGATAGGCATCGGTGGTGAGAGTAACGACGTGGACAGACGGGAACTCATGAGAAAGGTGCCAGTCTTCTGAGATGTCATTTTGTGGCATGACCATTTAGGGATATGTCTAGAAAAATGAACAAAAAAGGGCATGTCTGTTTAATAAAATGAAAAGGGAGTTTTGGTGGGCTGGCAACTGGCCTGCTATCAGAGGTGGAGATTCATGCCCTAACATTGGATAGGACAGAGCAGAGCTTTGCATACTGCATGGCTCATAGTTTAAGCCTTGCATCTCAGCCCAGGTCACAATCATTAGGCTTTAGAGATCGTCAGTGTATCACTTGTGCACAAAACTTTCATTGAAATAAAAAATTCTGCATGTAATCTTCCGGTTTCCATAATTTTAATTTCCTCAAATGCGTTCTGGCCAGTTTTACTTATTTTCTCAAGTACTCAGAAATTTGAAAATAGAACCAAAAAATACAGACAAAACATGGAATTATATTAGCTCTTTTTTCCTCTGTGACATCTTAACCTTCTTTTTACCTCTTTACACCTGCTAATCAGGTGGAATGCTTCCTACCTTATTTGGGTAGTATTTCAGACAAACATGCTTTCCTCCTAGTGGCTCTTTTGACATCGTGCTGAACTAACTTATGTTCATATGATGCAATGTAGTGCTGACAATTTGTTTATTTGAGAAGGCTTCTTGTGATTTGCAAGAAAAGATCATCTGAGATCTGTTGTATAGCCAGTACCAGTAGAAAGTCTTGCACTGGTTTGGATGCTGCTAAGTGACTATCCATAGCCATTTTTCTCTAAAACTAAAAAAAAAAAAAAATCAAATTTATTTAAGAACTAAGTCCGGTTAGGTGGGCGAGGTCTACCACAGCAGCTCATATTCTTCTCCCAGCACGTGAGGGGTTTTTTTTTCAGTTTTGAGTGTGTGGGTTTTTTTTCCCCCAAGACCACTTAGGAGAATGTTGCTGCTTGCTCTTCATTCTAACGTGTAGAAACTGGGAAACTGTACAAGCATTAGGAGGACATAACCCTGTAAAAACTTTGGGGTAGGCAAGTACCTGCCACTCAGTGGAAGTACTCAAACATCATGTAGGACAGGCAGAAAGATATCCAGCTGGATGACCTTGCTGTGGATTAATCAGCTGGCTTTGGAAAGCAAGTACACAGCATGTGAAGAATAGCAATGGTAAACAGAAAGAAAACACAAATAAATGAGAAGTGAAATGGCACCAAGCTAACGTACTGGTCTTGCAAAACTCAGTGCACATCACCAGTTAGCTGACTTCAGCAGGAACTGAAATTTCTTGGTGCTCCTCTTCATCTATTTGGTAGAAAACAAGCTGACACATTTTCTAAGACAAAAAGCTTTTAAAATGGCTTTTCCCTTTTTCATGCTCCACAAGGGGAAGTAATGTATCTGATGTTGTACTTATCTGAGAATGAGGTTCTACAGCCAAAATGAAAATCTAATTTACTTGCTTTATTGTGTAGTATGTAAACAGCTTCATGTGCAGAGAAACTAGATGATCGGTAATGGTTTTGGTCACATTTGGCTTTTGTTAGTTCTAGAAATACTTCTTAGCTTTATATAGAACTATGAACATGTAAGATTTTGCGGAGAATGGCAAGAAAGTTTCTCTTCCCAGTCTCTACCCCTTTTTATTGCTTCTAAGCATTTGTTCATCATGCTATTCCTAGCTTTCATTATTAAAATAAGCAAAACCTCAAACTGACATTATCTCATCCAAGCCTATCGAAACTTATCATTTTAAAGGTGTGGCATATTCCTTTCTAAATTGTCCTACATTCTGCAATCTTGTATTTAAGTGATTTTTTTAAAAAGAACTTTTCTACTACTCCACCTGCTGAAATCAGATCTCTTTAAAGATTTAAATACAAATTTACAAACTTGATTGAGCCTTCAGGATTCCTCTCTCTGTATTTTCTTGTGTATCTGGTTCTAATGATGCGTTCCTTAGGAAATAAGTATGTTACATGACTCCACTTTCAGCGAGGCAGGCAGTTTCAGGACCTATCTCTTGCAGCAGTTCCACACTAGCAGCTCCTGTTTATCTGGCATGAAGCAGCAGGACTGATACATAGCCTAACCTATGAAAACCTGGTAACGAGCAATAAGCATTAATCACTTTCTCATTCAGTTGTCCAGGAGGTTTTTATCCAGTAAACCAGAAGCTGATTATCAATCCTCCGCCCACACTGCATGTAATCAGTTCTGTCCATCCCTTGTCCTCAACGCCTGCACCATCCACCGCACATTTGGGAAGAGGGGAGGAGAAGGAAATCTCCCTGTGATTTGTGTCTCTTGAGTTACTCTGTGCTAACAAAAGATTCTGGAATAAAAAATCTTTTGTCAGAACACTGTGGCAAAGTCTATATTGACTATCTTTTGGAAGAAATGGTTTCACTTGAGCTTTTGACTCCTTCCAAAAGAGCAGGAAGAGGCCGATCACTTGATAAATATGAGGCACTGAATTGTTTAACTATTTCTTGTAGACATCAATGAATGCGTAACAGATACGCACACCTGCCAGCGGAGAGAGCACTGCGTCAACACGATGGGATCATTCAAATGTCTCCAGGAATTGAGCTGTCAGCCAGGTTATGAACTTAAGGATGGAGAATGTGTTGGTAAGACAAGTGTTTTTCAGCTGATGCAATTGCTGTTACCAAAAAGGAAAGGAAAGGGGTTGCAAAGCATTTTATTGCTGCTGGTCTGTGATATCAGGGTTGTAACTAAAAAAGGCTGATCATCATGGAAATGTTTGGCTTCATAGGCCCCTTCTGTACATTCACTTATTTAAAATAGTTTCCAGCGATAACTATAAATTATTTCTTAAATGGGTGAAACCGTATGAATTAGGATTTACTCTGTTTTTAAGGCATTAGAGAGAGAGATCACTGATGGAGGAATTCCTATTACGCTCCTCTGCCTAGCTGTGCTTTTCTCTGAAGGGGCTGATACTGTTTGCTGTTGAACACTGAATCACAGCCTGAATGGATCATGGGGCTGACTCAGTCCGGTCCTTCCTGTGTTTAGGAGGTCTGTCTGCATTTATTTACATTTGGAGTGGTCATGGGGTTAAGAAGTTATTCTTCATCTCCCCCTTCTTGGTCTATATAGAGGTCTAATGGCGAAGCTAACCTCAGTAGTCACAGCATAGCAGAAGTTGCTCTGCAGCGCAGGAGTATGCAAGAGACACGTGCTCTGCCTTCCAGGGCAAAAGTCAGTGTTATTTACTCCTGAATTTTTCACACAGTTTCCTGACAGCTGGAGTAAGATATGCATAAGGAAAGAACTTAGCTCTTGACATATAACTTAAGGTTATAAAATAGAAATGATCAGAAATGTCGCTTTGTATACAGCTGTCCTAAGTAAACCTTCATTTACTTGAAGAGGCTGTTTGTGAATATCTTGTTCTGTTGTCTGATTCTATAGCATTTCTAACATTCATTGCTGATCTAAATTGCTTTCTAGTCTGAAAGTTAGATTATAACAGATTATAAAATTTACAAATTGTTTTAAAGTAGCCTTTAAATTAATGACTTATAAGAAAGACTATAATTTCAGAACTACTCTGTTTAAAATTGCCTACAGATAACTATTGAATTTGCAGAGGTTTATGAAATACTCAATTCCACATTTTTCTTTGTCTCAGTCTATAAATACAGTAGGAAGACTTACTTATTAATATATTACCTTCTGGGAGACTGGTGATGCTGCCCCGTGACTTTAACACTTAACTGAGGAGTTAGAATAGAAAGAGAAGTGCCAGCAGTTCTCCCCTTGTCTGCCTGGAGGAGTGAGGACTCCTCAGTTGTGGAGTTTCCTCCGTTTGTCTTTATTGTCTAGTAAAGATGTTCATCACAGGGAGTGTTCTCAGGAACCAGCGTATGTTAAAGCAGCATTTGAAAATATTCACAGGAACTGAATTTTGAATGTATTTATAGCTGAAATCTGTTCCTAGGTGGGGTTTCTTCAACTGGAAAATGGAAGCGATGCCACTATACCAACTGATCCTTGCAGTTACTCAACACAGATCAGTTGGGTGTAAATGTATAAGTTTGAAACTTGCAGGAAGTGTTTTCAATGTGCCTAGAAAGCGAGCATTAAACATAATTTGAGAAATAATTTCATATATATAATAAAAAATGAGAAAGCTGTGTTGAGCTCTGGCTGCAGAGAAAGGAAAAAAAAGCAAAATTTGTTACTGATATTACTACCTCTCATTCAGTTTTTTTTCAGAATAGTTTTCAGAGATGGATAAGTGTTTTTTCTGTGTACGTAAGTACATGTATATATACACCCATGCCTGTGTACACAGTGAAATCCCAGCCCTGTTCAAATGAAGTTAGTATCAAATTCAGTAGAGGTAGGTTTCTACCTAGAATTCCTGAGGTATACAAGGAATAAGAGACCATTTTGCTTTTGAAAGAGCGTGGTACACATTTTATTATGTGTACCTTATTCCTAGTTTTAATTTGGGTCTTTAGGATTTTAAAACTGCAGATGTTTCAGTATTTGTGGTTTACAAGAGGTGCTGTGAACAAGGCAGTAGGGACCTGAATCAAATTTGCTGCAGGACCTGACAAATTCTGAAGCCTATGCTGAAGTGGATGTCCAAGAGCAAACACACCTAAACCTCAGATTTCCCATAGGCAGTGTTGGGTGTTTGGTTTAAATAATGCTTCCTAACTTCCTTTCTGAGAAGTTAACTAGTCATGAAGGCTACTGAAAATTACAGCTTAACTAGTCACAATTTGGTGTTTTGATCTGATTAACAGATATTGATGAATGCGAGAGGGGAACTCATAGTTGTAAAGTAAACTTCGTTTGTCAGAATACAGAAGGATCATTCTACTGTGAGTCAAAGCAACGCTGCATGGATGGATTTTTACAAGACCCTGAGGGAAACTGTGTTGGTAAGTGTGACCAGCAATATGTTTGTAATACGTGCAGCAGCACTGGCCAACTCCTGTTCCTTTTAGCCTGTCCAAGGGGTGTGTATTGACCATATGTAGTTTTCCTCAAATCCTGCTGTGAATTTAATTTAAACATTGCTGTCCTTTTAAAGATATGCATATTTGCATATTGAATTTGAAAGTGTTACCACAGCAGACCTTCATCAGCCTTGTCTTTGTAGTGTAATAAATTGAAATGAAGGAAAAGAAGTGACAGCTGGAAGAAAACAGACCAGAAAGGTTAAATAGCTTCTCTCACTATTCTAATTCATTTTCTTCACCAGATATTAATGAATGCACATCTCTCCCTGAGCCATGTAAACCAGGATTCAACTGCATCAATACTGTTGGGTCTTACACCTGCCAAAGGAACATGCTGACATGCAGCAGAGGCTACCACTCCAATGAGGAGGGAACCCGATGCATCGGTAAGGTCAGACTCCTGTGTCTGGTCAGGTGCCCTCACGGAGGAAAAAGTACATTTCAGTTCTAAAAAGAGGTTTTGAGTTACCTCCAGATTCCTAAATGTATTTGAGGAATGGGAATTTGCTGTATGCATTTGCTGTCCAAGTAGCTCCGTGATTTGTTTGCACTACAGGATGCTGCACTGATGTCTGACTGCTGCATGGAGTTCCTCTTGGTATGCCGGGTGACATTGGTTTTGACTGGATATGGGATTTGCTGGCTTCCGTTCTGGAGTGAATGTGATGTGGTTACTTTTTAAACTCATGCTGTCAGTCAAAACCACGATCTTTTGCTATTTTTTACAGTATCTCACTATAAGTGATATGAACTGAAGCCATGGGATGCAGCAAACAAGAAACACTGAGTTTGTGGACTCACAAGAGTAGTACTAAGTGGATGTTCTTTGTAGTGCTATGAATGGTGTTCCCCATTTACATCCAGTTGTGTGTACGTTTAGGGTAAATTATTACTTTCTTTGTGAAAAGAATGTTGAAATATTCATATAGGCTGTCAGGCATCTTGATACTGATTTGTATTTGTTCCAGTGTGTTTACAGAGTTACTGACTCAGAATAGCAAATTTCATCTCTTATTAGCATTTGTGCTGTAAATGAGCACACTAGGCACAAAGGAATTGAAAGCTTGGTCCTTGGTGCCCAAGGCAAGGCTGGCTATGTATTCTTTAATTCCCTGTGTTCTCTGTTACACGAAGTAGGAAATCATAAAACAACAGCAGGGGAAAAAAAAAAGAATTAACGAATCAGCATTTGGGTTAGTGATGATATCCTAATGATTTCTACTTACGTTCCCTCTGAATAAAAGGAAGGATGAAAAATAAACAAAATATGCTTTGTGATGCTACAGGTGGGTGGAAGCCGTGTTGGCAGCTATTAATTTGGTCATGAGTAGCAACTTGTAGTGAAAAATAGTGGTATAGATAGACCCCATCTCCGCATAAATTTCTGCATTCTCCTTTTTTGCTCTTCATTATGCTCTATCTCCCTTCATGATTTTACCCCCAGGACTATCCAGACAGTGCTTGGCCAGTGAGAAGGTGGGGAAGATTTGGAAGTAGCAGAAGATGGGGACAGTTTATGTGTGTAACTGAGGAAATTGAGAAAGCTTCCTAATAGAGCTCTAGAGGCTTGTGTTCCGTAAATTCGGGGCAAAGTAGTGCAGTCTCGTTTGCTGTCCTATTATATAGCAGCCTGAAATATTTCAATTGTTACAAAGGGAAGGTCCCAAAGTCCTGTCTCTCTCTCAGTTGCTGGAAAGACACAGTTCTTCAGCTGGTTTCGGTCAGTCCTGCTTCAGGAAAGTCAACTGGGCTAGGTGCGTTTGCACCACCTGAAGTGTGGTGACCCTGAAATTGTTTTTAGGGTTACCCCCATGCCAACGTCTCCATGGATGCCACTTTTTTCGCAAGTCGGCAGTCATCAGTGAGCAGCTCAGGAGTCCTGGCTGTAGTGCTAACAGCCTTCGTTTTCAAGCTCTGCTAATGGCTGGGGCAAATTATGTTCCCAAATTTCAAACTGATGATTTATAGGAAGAATCCAACTTTTTTTCCCCAGTTGTTCCTAAAAGAGAGTGACTGTGTGTAAATATGTGACGGAGGAGGAAATTGCCATTATTCATACAGCATTTATCTCTTTAAAGCATGATGAGATAACACAATGCATCGTAATTACCGATGATACTTTGTCTCTACTTTACATGATTGACAATGCTTTTAAGGAGCAGGTATAAGGAAGCTTCTCTAGTTTGATTTTGGGAAAACAAATGTTTAATGTTAATTGGTGATTTCTCTGTCTTTGTTGTGTGCACTGTCTCTGCAGTCTGTATTTTTGGGGTTTTTTTTTGGTATGGCTTTCTTTAAGTAGGCAGAGAGCATAGAGAAGAAAAAAGAAAAGCATATGGTCCTAATTTCCCCTCTCTATGATAAAAACGAGTTTCTTTAAGGCATTACAATAGCTAATTAGATTCCTGATTCAGATTTATTCACAGTAGTAAATACATCATCTGCACATGTTTCTCCAGCAGAACTACACTTGTATGGTCATCTTCTCTGTTTAGAGGATTCATCTCACTTTAAAATGTTCATGTTTTCTGATTTAGTAAATGAGTTATTAAAAACTACCTCTTAAACTGAAAACTACTGTAACTATTGTGAAATACAGCACACTTCTGATGGTATAATGCCCTAGAACTAACTAAAGTCTGAACGCAATGGAATATATAATTTTGGACAAACTAATGAAATGGTTGCACACATGAATTCATTACAAACAAAACTGCTACTTTACAAATTTGTATCTCCATTAGAAACTTCCTTGTTTTGATGCTACCTCTGATCTTAAAATAAAATGAGGAGACACTGTTTCAGCAGAAATCTATGAGCCTGTCAGGAATTCCTTGCTTGGCGAGTGGCATTCCCTGCCATCCCTAACCCCGATGCCAGCAGGGACTGTGTAGGTGGGAATCTGTGCTGAAATATTGAACAAAGTATTTGTTAGTGCCTCTCATCAGGGTTGATATAATCTCCGCTTTTCCAAATCCAAGTTTCTGTGATAAGTAACTTGCTCTCACTTCCCTATCATTTTCTTAGCAAGTGACTGCTTTCTGGAGCACTCTCCAAGGCTGTTGTTTGATGGAGAACTGCCCAGGAACCCTTTGAAATGAAATAGTGCTCAAATTTAAGACTTCAGATAGGGCAGTATGGAGAACCTCCAGCCTTAGACTACCATTCTAATTAATATTACATGAACAGGGATTTGGGTTGTAAAAGTAGTTGAAGACGTGAATAACAGGAAGGAAGCAGGATCTGATGGCTTAGGAAATGACAGAACTCAGAATACTTGAAGAAATACAAGTTTCTGAGGGTTAATCAGACTTTTTGATGCTTCTTGTCACAGATGGTAACGGGGATTTGTTAGATACTGATGAGCTATTTAGTCATGTTGCAAGTCTTGAAAATCAGCGTACATTGAAAACTCTCATCTTCATCTGAGGGTTTTTAAAATCAGATTGGAAGTGATGCATGTGAGTGGAGAAGCAACTAATTTGTTGGTACTGGACTTTGGATGAGAGGCCATGAGGAATATCAAAATGTGAGTTGATTGAGAAAAGAAAAAAGATCAACATTGGGAAAGAGCAAAAGGTAGACAGCAGAAGCAAGATTGAAAGGGCAACTGGAGATGAAAATAGCAATTGCTTTAATTGAAGGGATGAGCAGAATTTCTGGCTAGTTCTTGTTTTGCTTTAAATGGCTTGCCGTGACTCACGTAATGGCAGAACATCAGAATAGGGTGTTTAAATGTCATGGTTTGATCAGAATCAAAATCTGTTTACACTGAAATGCAGAATATGCTGGGAAAGCTCCATTGCAGTTACAGTTACCATTTTCACTTTTAAGATAATGTATTGCTTTTCAAAAGTTTGACTTAGAGATATGTAAATCTGATGCTGAGAAGAGCACAGTGGGAAAAGCTGATATTCTTTGTTCTGTCCAGGGGACAACCCTAACAGTTTCTATTCCTGTTGTTTAACTAATTTTTTTTTTCTCTTCGTAAACATTGATTTTCAGCAAACTATATTTAAACTAATTGCTTTCTCTGGTTCTGCAGATGTGGATGAATGTCAAACTGGTGTACACCGTTGTGGCGAAGGGCAGATTTGTCATAATCTTCCTGGGGCTTATCGCTGTGACTGCAAGATGGGATATCAGTATGATGCGTTCAGCAGAAGCTGCATTGGTATGTAAGGCGCAAGATGAGATGAAACGACTGATTGATTGAGCCTTGGACCTCAAGGCAGTATTTAGCTCCATTGTAGTGTGCAGTTATTAGTTCTGCAATGCAGTGCCTCAAAAGATAATGGAATCACCTCCAAAGCAGCCGTCGTTCAGTCTGACCGGCCATTTAGAGCTCTGCCACTTCCATGCTGTGATTTCGGACCAGGTGCCCTTGGTTTGGTTTAGCTGCAGGTTATCAAACAAAGTCATCTGCAAAGTACTTTCCTATGGGTTATGCTTCTGCTGCTGTAGAAATTTATCTTTCTGAAGATTTCACAACTTTCTTCATAAGAGACTATGATGCAGCATTTTGTATTTTATCGGTACTGTACACCAATTAGAGCACAAAGTCAGACAGCATAAAACCTGAGGTTGCAGCATTTAATGCTCTGCAAATCAATCTCTGACACTTTTAAAAATATCCTCCTGTATGTTGTTTGATGGTTTTGTTTCTACGTTGATTGTATATTTGCTTGTTATGCTGGCAGATATAAATGAGTGCTGGAATTACCCCGGACGCCTGTGTCAGCATACGTGTGAGAACACCCCTGGGTCCTACCATTGCACTTGTTCTTCTGGTTTCCGCTTGTCCTATGATGGGAAGCATTGTGAAGGTACCAGACATTTTTTCCATGAAGAAGAAATTGCAGTGTGAATTAAGGGACTGTAGAGAAGGAGTTGAGGTGAAATATAAATACAGCAAACCCACAATTTGTGTGTGCTCAAATTTGCAGGTATTCAATTGAACACTCAAACTGTCAGATGAGAGCCAGCAAGTTTCTCCTCTTTCTTCCTTTCCCTCACATACTTTTTCCTTTCCTTCCAGATGAGAGAAAAGGAGAACATAACAAAGTTAGAATAGGAGACTTTTTATACAAATTTTAATAATTGGTAAACTTGGTAATGACAAAACTTGAAAAAATTGATTTTGAATTGAATGGAAATTTTTTATGTTCTCCATGATTTTTTTAAGGCGATGATTACATATTTTTAATCAACCATAACATATAAGGTCTGAAACATGTGTTTGCATGCATATGTGTTTTCATTGGCATATAGAGAAATGAAATTCAGGTGCAACAGACATCTTCATGCTTCTTGGCATTCTGCCCAGGGAGCAGAAACATCTTCTTGGGACAAATTAGTCCATCCTTATTCGCTTTGACCGGAAGGATTTGGTAGCTGTTCTCAGAGGCAAGAAATGGTGGAAGATACTGTTCCGAACCATTGTGGCAATGTCTGTGGCTTTGTTTTTGGATGCAGATGTGAATGAATGCGAAACTAGTCCCTGCAGCCAGGAGTGTGCCAATGTTTATGGTTCCTATCAGTGTTACTGCAGGCAAGGTTTCCAGCTAGCAGAAGATGGCCATTCTTGTAAAGGTAAGGCTGCTGCTTTGTCAGGTCAAGTTAAGTATGTGTATACTCTTTAAAAGTCAGGGCTGTCTAACTCTTTAACAGTAAGTGCTGTCTAACTCTCAGCAGCGCCTAATGCTGCAGGTGATGCCTAAGGATGATCGTGAGTTACACCCTGCTGCAGAAGCTGCAAAAGGTAACTCCAGCTATTGGAAAATGCAGTTTGTTTTCATGCCTCCTACCTGGGGCTGGAATACACTTGTGTGACCGTAGAACCTGTGAGGTTATTGTTTCATGGGGCTAGAGCTTACGATTGAAAAAATTAGAGGGGAAGATCTGTTTACCTATATTGCATCAATTAAAGCCTCCACTCAGCCACAGTTGAGTGAAAGCTTGCTCTTACTTCAGCTCGTGGTGGGTGAATGAGGAGTAGAGTGATCAGAATGGAGAAAGGAAGGGTTTTACCTATTTTCTTGAAGTTACCAATACTGGCACGTTGGAGAGTCTCTATTTAAAAAATGGTGAAGAAACCCGCGTTCTTCCTAGCACAAGGAAGCCCCCAAAGCAATTATAGAAGAATTACAGAGGTACCAGAGAGAGTTTTTCAAACTCAGATGTGCCCTAGACTTGTTGTTGTTTTCCATGAGTCCATACTACTTACAACCAGTATTTTTAGGAGCAGTCTTGTGTTCAGCATTTTGGAAAGCACCATCAACAGTCCTAGAGCAATGTCAAACTTTCATGGCTGCATTCTTGTTTAAGAATATATAATAAATGTGTCAGATAAGAATTTCCTTGTGTTCTACAGCCTCCCTTTCCAGATTTCTGTTTTTCTTTTTTTCATATGTTTGTAATTGTGTTTTTTTTCCCAGATATCGATGAGTGCACACAGAGTGCAGGCATTCTTTGTACTTTCCGCTGCGTGAATGTTCCTGGTAGTTATCAGTGTGCTTGTCCTGAGCAGGGATATACCATGGCAGCAAATGGAAGAACCTGTCGAGGTAATGAGGAGTTTAGGAACTGAAAGGATTATATCATGAAGCTTTAATCCTTGGAATGATCTAAGCCATTATGGTTATTCAATCAAGTCTCCATGTTTTATATTAGTCACTGTTAAAAAGCCAGTATTTGACAAAGTTGCCAGATACTGGTATCTGCAATGTCAGCTTTTTCCTGTGTTAGAAGAAAGTACTGTGGCAGCTCAGCTGTCAATGTGAGCTAATTGTTCAAATGAATTCCTAAGGGAGCCCACTTCATCATTCAAATTGGGGCGCTTGATTGCTTGCATGAGCTGTATGTGCACCTTGGCACAGCAGTATGTGATCTGGTTTTTTAGAGGTGCCAGATGTAGAAGTCTGTGGCTTCATTACAAGTTGCAGTTTCCTGCCCCAGAAAACTGGGAGAGTGAATGTAGGAGCTGTAATGGGGACTTGGACATCCAGAAGTCTGCCACCTAAGCTTAATTACGTTGGTGTTAGTAATTGTTAGTATAAATGACATATATCCTCCCCACACACACCTCTTTTCTCCAGAATCATAGAAATGTCTTCTGGGTGTCTGGTGGTTTTCATCTGGTGTGCAGCTGTCTGTTTTTGAAGTAAAAATCCCCCATTTCCAAAGGATGCACTGACTGTGTAATGATGATTGAAGATCTGATTACCTTTACGTACTTGACATGCATTCCTGCAGTCAGTTACACTAACTACCAGGCATTTCCTGCTCTTAGTTTTTCGGGAACACTTCACATAACTTTTGCTTATGTATCTCCTATGCTTAAATTCTCTTCTCTGTGGTAACGGCAGTGAATTTACACTGCGTAAATCATGAACAGCATGAGCATAATTGATCCTGACTTTGGAGCAGAGAAACAGACTAAATGACAATTAAAATCTTTTTAGAAGATTTTAAAAGATTTATTTTTTTAGGTGTGTTTTTAAGTATGAATGCAGTTACATCCATCTGCATTTAAATTCTTATGTAAAAGTCACCTTCAGAAAATCGCAGTTATACCCCTCCTCAGGCTTTGTTTGTTTGTGTGTTTTTTTCCTGCTAACTTTGAGTGCTTGCATGTTAGTTGCCACCTCTGCCAGCAGTGAGATTTGAGCTGAGGACGCCTTCCAGAGTTAATAGTGTGAGTCACTGCATTAATCGGCCAGCACAGCTCTCCCGAGCCGGAGGCACCCAGCGTGCTCCAAGCGCTGGAGGTGGAGGAAAAAGGTTTGCCACGCGGACCTATGGATCGCACTTGCATTGTTTGTGTGGTGTGAAATCCTCCCTGCACGCTCACCCTGCGTGGAGAGGGTTCCTATTGTATAGACTAGCCCTGCTAAGTCAGCTATGCAGTAACAGTTGGAAAAACTTTTTGAAGTACCTATGCCATCTGGTACATGCACCCTCCTTAGAGGTTGAAGTTGGTCTACTCGCAAAACTTACCGCGTGTGCGGCAGCTCTGTGCATGGCTGGGTAAGCTGGCATTTAGTCAGGTGCTGGAAGTAGCCCCTGGGTACATGCCCTTTTTTTGAGCTCTGCAAGTGTGTAGTTACACGTTTGGGCGGGCTAATATATTGAGGTCTCTCTGAAGACATGGTCACAGAAACAGTCTGAATTGATGTCAGCTGGACTAAACTCAAGATGATACTGGTTTCCACCAGCTGAAGATCTGGCCCCAGTTGCTCATCATCTGAACAGTTCTTAAGAGTTACTGGTGGTACATTCTGTGTACCCTTTTTTTCAAACAGATGAGTTGTATCTCATGTAATAGCATCTCAACATATGTATCTCGGAGAAACTGCCTATGGTATTTTGCAGCACAGCCAAACTGGTGAAGTGAGTGCTTTCATGACAGTGATTGCAATATGGAAGAAATTTTCTTTCTACCTACGGGCACTTCTGAGAATCATCAAGGGATTTAATTTACTTTGATTCTCTCCTACTTCCTATTGTATACTTTTCTTTGTAAGACTTTTAAACCAGTCAGTTCAGTGTATGAGATCAGCTCTCATCCCAGGGGAGTGGAGGGAGTGGGAGGTTACAGTTTTCCTCTAAGAGTCTGTCTCCTCTGTGACAATTGGCAGAACTGCAGAGCCCTACACAGTCCACGTGGTTTGTCTGTTAGCATTTATTTCATTTTAAAGCCTCCGTGCGTTGTCTAGACATTTGGGAGTACACAATGTGACTGTGAGACCTTTGCCAATATTTTCTGTTCAAGCCGGATCCTTGTTATTGCATCTGGTTTTCAGCATTTTAAGGTCCATGGCTTGGGCTTGTGCATATGTATTATTTAGGTAACCACCTTTATGCTCTAGGCCATAAAGTGTCTCTGAACTTTAAATGTTCCTTTTTGTCTTCTGCGACATTACTTCTCATTACGGGGAGATAGTTATATTTAACTTAAATTTTCAAAAATGTGTGTCCTGTTCTAAAGTGTTGTTCTTAAGTTCCAGTATTTCATAATAGTCAGTCTGGTGAAGCTTACATCTCCCGGATCATGCAGCTGTACAGCAGTGGATACTTTGCTTTGTATTTGCCCCCTGCTTTAATCCAGACAAACTTTCATGCGTAGATAAATTCTTCTCCTGGCATAGCCCAGCTTTCTCATTTCTCAAAAGGTCAGTGAGAAGGCCCTGTTGGCTTTTAACATGAGCTGATTATATTCTGATGGGATTTGTTTATTCCTGAGGGATAGCTTCTGAGGGATATTCCTGAGGGATAGTAGGCTGTCAATGGCTAACGTGTAGGCAGACATAGGACATCCCTCCATCCATTATGTGTGTTTGCTCTGGGGAGGGGAAGGCCTCTCTGCAGACTAGGTAATGGAGGAATGTTTGTTTGCTTGGGCTATGTGGACATTTTACAGCCTTGTCCATGAAGAAGGAGCCATTGCGATCACACACGTTATGCAGTGTATGAGGGTTTTATAGCAGTGGCCACCTTTCATCAAGGACTGTCCCTTGTATTCCAGTGCTTGCACACGGTGTCTACGCCACGCACAAGTCTGTGCACATGCTCTGCTGTTTGAAACCAGATAGATGCTTCCCCCAGCTATTGAGCTTATCACATGTGCACTGTGCTCACGTGCTGAACAGCTTGTTTACAAACACCACACATGACATAGGCTAGCTCTAAGCATGAAACTGTGGTTCAGGGAGTATCAGTGACCTGTGAAGCTGTAAAAACTGGCCCATCACTTTCAGGAAACTATTTTAAAACTATCTTCAATCAGAACAGCTGTGGAAAGCTTAAACAGCGTCTGCGGGGATGGACAGGTTGGCTGGTCTGAGAAGTTTAAGGTTCCACTGCCTTAGACTACCGCTATCTGGTTATTTTATTCTGTTTCCTTTCAGCCTAGTTTATAATATTACTTACAACACATCTCTGACACCTCAGGAGCAAGGGAGAATATGACAACACAGGCGATTCTGTCTAGATGTTCATGTTTGTTTTGAACCTTGAATGTTTTGTTTCATTGCAGTGGCAAGTGTCAAGACAGGAGGATCTTGGGTTTTGACAAGTTTTTTTCCTTCTCGCGTTTATTGTCCACTGGAAGTTAAACCCTGTGTTGCATCAGATGTGTTTGGAATGAGAATAGCTAGGTTCACAGGAGTGTGCAAATGTTTGCAAAGTACAGAAGGAAACAAACTTCCCCTGCGGTAGAAGGCCAGCCCTGGCTCTGCGCTGGGTGGCTGCAACTGGCCACAGTCTCTGCCAAGCAGGGGAAAGACTGTCAAACAGCAGGAAAAGGATCATAAGCTGCTTGTAGGGAAGAGTGGGCTCCCTTGTTTATTGCACACACTGTGGAGTGGCACTGTCATCTCTTATTAACTGATAATGTCAAGGAAGGAAATTTTTTTCTGCAGAAGACATGAATTTTAGCAAATTGGAATCAACATGATTTACCCTGTCACTTCAAATGCCAGCAAGTGTCTGTGCACAGAGGTGAACCTGACACACCTCACCTGAATGTGTGTTTCATACCCCAGGTGTTTTCTCCGAGGTTCTCGCAGTCCTGGTCTGCAGGCAGCAGGCACAGGTACTGAAGAGGTAACGCACAGCAACTGAGTGGTGGAGACAAGAGCCCTCAGCTTGCAGAGCCAAACTCACAGACTCCTCTTGCTTCTCATGCACAGAGTCTCGTAAGCATATTACAGCCCATAAATGGTGATTACTTCTTATTTTTGAACTTAGCATGTCTTTTTCCTTGTGTTTCTTCTTGTTAGATGTCGATGAATGTGCAATAGGAACCCATAACTGTTCAGCTGCAGAGACTTGCTATAACATCCAGGGCAGCTTCCGCTGCCTGTCCTTTGAGTGCCCTTCCAACTACAGAAAAGTATCTGACATGTAAGTATCGCCGTTGCAACAAAGCGAGCAGCCCAGTCCAGTGGCTGTGGATGTTACGTAGTGCTTTAGTTTGTGGGCGGGTGTAAGTGCTCAGAGCTCTAAGAAGATGCTTCAGTACCTAGAACACATAGACTTTCCCCATATAGAGCTTCTGTCCGTTTTTGCCTCTTCCTTCTTCCAAGCCCTAGAGCCCCCATTTACCTTCCAACTGCTGCTACAACAGCAGTCATCAGGGCTTGCAGCTCTACTTGCTGTAGCTCTAAAAGGGCTCTGTTTATAATTAAGTTCTAAAAAAATAAGATCTTCTATGCTGCTTATATCATTGCAGTAGCTGCCAGGCTGCTCAGTGCACCACTTTTACAGTGGTTTTGGGTCTCCCTGTTTAATACTCAGATGGCAGTTCCTCAGGGAGTGTTGAAACGTTGAAGGGGAGTGGATAATGAGCTTGCCAGGCTACAGGGTTCTGGAATGGCACACCCCCACAGCTCCCAGCTCCTCAGCAGCTGAGGCTCGGGACCCCCAAAATCTCCCTACCCATCTCCTGCCTCAATGGTTGCCAGTGCTTTGGGAAGCCATATTTAGTTGCTTATGACTTAAAACATACTTTTCCTGCCTTATAGAATTGAGCAGGTTTGCAAGTTGAGGAGCTTGTTTCCCATTCCCATGTTTTATCTACCTTTTTAAGTGTTTTTGTTCTTATTTTCTTGGAGCACCTCTGCGCTCCAACCTCTGTGCTGCTTGCAGCATGACTCTGGCTCTTTCCTTGTGGAGCTTCCCAACACAGCTCCCCCTGGCCATGATCTTTTTCTTACACTGTTGTACTCTGACAATTCTATCATTTACAAATGCTTTATGGGCACTGTAAAAGCAGAAAAAGCAGCTGGTAATTACACAGCCGAAGTTTGGGACTCCTGTTTGTCTAATACTTTTGCAATACTCTGAAATACATATATTCTTACCTGCTATTACATGGACACTGAATGTGCTTCATTTCTCATCTCTTAGGAGGTGTGAACGAATCAGTTGTTTTAATTATCTGGACTGCCAAAATACCCCGGTGCGCATTACCTATTACCAGCTGAACTTCCAAACCAATATCGTGGTCCCAGCTCATATTTTCCGTATTGGACCATCACCTGCCTATGCTGGAGACAACATAATCCTTACTATCAACAAGGGAAATGAAGAAAACTACTTCAGCACTCGAAGGCTGAACTCGTACACGGGCATTGTCTATCTTCAGCGACAAGTGAAAGAGCCTAAAGACTTTTTGTTAGATGTTGAAATGAAACTGTGGCGTCAGGGAACATACACTACTTTTCTTGCCAAAATTTACATTTTCATCACAGCTCATGCGTACTGAAGCATGTATTGACATTGGATTTTATTGGTGCTATGCTCTTTAACTGTTCTACCAAAGCTTAATACTGTTGAACTGGCATTTAGTGTATCTAGCCTTTATATTATTTTTCTATCATTGCTTTAAACTTTTTTATTGGTTGTGTAAATTAAGTTAATTTTTATCTTTTTTTTTTTTGTTTTCTTACGCAATTCTTTACATCATCATTTGACAATGAACGAAGGAAGGGTTAGAAAGGCAGTACAAGCATTATGTTAAATGCTGGAACCTTTTCTTAGAAATTATTTTTAGGTTTAGTCACATCTGCAGGGTATTGCACTAGAGAGGAAAGATGTTCACTTGGGAGTATTGGTTTTTGCCACTATGGGAAAAAAACCTTGAGCAATTTCTCTTTATTACACAAACTTATGGTTTGGCTTAGCCACTGACTTTACTGAGGTTTCTCTGTGTTGAGATGCTGTGTTGAAGGCCGTATGTGTACACTGACGGTTAGCTCACCTCATATTACCGGTTTATTTTCCTCCTTCCAACTTTCGTAATATGTTGCCTAAAAATATATATAAATAAAAGAAAACTCCACCAGTGAAAAAGCCTATGAATGAGTCTTGCTTTAGTAGGACTACTCATATGCTAACTATTTACAAGACCAAGGCCTTAAGAGAATGTCATGCGTTAGGGTAAAGGCTCACGTTGCCATTTTTAATAGTTGTCTTTATAGGTGTTGGGATTCCTCTCTATACAGACTCATTCCATTTAGGTAACTATAAGTGCAGATTAGATGCTTTATAATTCTTAAAGGAATGTCCAAGAGAAAGATGGAAATAATGAAATAATCAATTACTGCTCCTTATTTTAAAGCTTGGGTGTGCCACTGAGGAATCACTTGCAATTTTAAATATCAAAAAGGGGAATTGCTTCTCTTCTTCAGGAAGATTACTTCAGTTGTGTTACTAAATGACGCAGAGGAAAATGCTAGTTAAATTGGCAGTTTGTATTATGCCATTTAGAAAATAGCACAACCAAAGTTTTGAGCTAGATTTCCTCTAGTTCTACAGGAAACTGGATGAGGTCCAAAGTTGAAGGCCAGATGTGGCAAAGCATAGTATAATCGAAGTATTTGTTAGAGTTTAGACATGAGTATCAGAACTTCTTTATGGCTGTTTTCTTTTTTTTTCCTCCTAAAAAGGCAAAAAAGCTCCAGTGTTGAAATTTTCTGAGCGTCCTTTGTTCCAGCTATAATTATTCTGCAAAATGTCTTAAAGGAAAAACATAGCTACAATATATTGATGTTTACTACACTGCAGTGTAATAATCATAGAGTCACAGAATACCAGGTTGGAAGGGACCTCAAGGATCATCTGGTCCACCCTTTCTTGGCAAAATAATAATCTGTTCTTTTCTACAGTCGATCTTATTTTGACCAGTGTGTACACACAAAAAAAAAAGGAGAAATCAAATCTTACGGCTTTTTGTGCCATAATCAACAATTTTATTATCCTGTAAAATAGCTGTTTGAACTGCATCTTGAAATCTTGTAAACACCACCTATATGGTGAGAGGAGAGATGTTCTGTATTCACTATATCCCAAGGCCAATTTCTACCACTTCAAGTCACTTCTTTAATTCGGACTCTTTCTGTATATGCTAACATAAAGACCCATTACCAGGGAAAAATTATTGCTGTTCCCCAGCTGTAAAATATGGGATATCTGTGAGCTTGCATACATCAAGCTTTTATTTGTTTTTTTCTATGAAAATCATTTCGTAAAAGTGATCTTCCATCCATCTTTTGTTTTCCATAGTTAACAGTTTCATAAGCGTTCAGCAGGGAAGTGCCAACTGTGAAACACATGTTTATGCAATTTGTCATGTCAATTAATGTGTATCTTACAGCTACAGGCCTGGCAAGATGAAGAGGCAGCCGCAGCAATGAGTAGGAGAGCCTTTCAGGTCCATTATGCAGCATACGTGTTAAGTGGCGATACATTTCTCCATGCCCCAGTGGGGCACATCAAGAGTCCCAAAACCCAGAGTTTTCCATCAGCATTAGTATTTGATTGAGCGTAAATGATATTCAAGCCTCGACAGTCTTTCTTGTCAGAGAACAAATGGACAAGCCATTTGTTACTTGGAGACCTTTTGCTGACTAAAACCAGCCATAGTCAATCATATCAAGGGTCTGGCAGTTTGTAACACCAATTTTTCATTTTCCAGACAGGTAATTGATGAAGAAAGTTTTAGGAAAGGCTTTGCATACTATTATAAGAAAAATGCTATGTTATAACAAAACATGTCTTCATCAGCACTGTGTCCAGTAGGCATTCAAAAAGGTCAGAAATAGTTGCTCGGTGCAACTGGTCAAAGCAAAGGAAAGGCTTATGGTAGATAATTTCACATCCTTCTGTTCCCAAAATAACCAGAGGAATCTTTTACCTCTTACCAACCCAAAGCGTACGCCCTGTCAGTTTTAGTAGGAGCTGCAATGCAGGGACAGTTAGCGCTGCATGCTTTGCTTTTTCTTAGGACAGTGCTCATGATTGAACTTGAACAGACACATCCACCAAAGACCCCCTGACTGGCGAGGATGTGCTTTCACTGGGTCGCAATGGCTTTGGACTGGAATTTCAGTTGCCTTCAACCGGTCTAGCTCCTAGAAGGCCCAGTTCCCATCTTCAGTAATGCTCCTTCTGATTTATTTGGCTGGGTAACCTAGACAGAGAATGAGAGTGTGTGTATCCACGTACACAGAAGAGGTCTCGGTGAAAAGAGTTCAGGCCTGGACTGTGCCTTTATGGCCTCTTACACTTTCTTAAAACAGCAATAGCTTTCCTGAATTCTCTCTTGAACAGCCATATTTTTCTTTCTTTTTTTTTCCTTTCTCCATTTCTAACAAGTGAGTTAAGTAGCTTTTATTTATTCCCTTAGTTTCACTATGCAAGCTGATAAATTCATGAGGAAGACAACAGCTGCAAACCTAATAAATAATTATAGCAGACTTGGGGCGTATGATTATGTATGTGTAATACTTTAGATTATTAGTATGTTCCCAAAATTGGAAATGGCCTTTGTGTGACCTGTCTGAACAATGCGTGTTCTGCTTAGCTTTGCAGGTTACTTACTCCTGCCTTTATGAAATCTGACCTCTCGGTACTTGGCTGTTGTATTCCTTGGGAGATCCAGTGATCCCAGACACTGAGGAAGATCTAATGTGTCACTGGAAGGAAGAAGAAATGAAAGTCTGCGTGTTTGCTGAAAATTTGTATGGGTCTATTACAGACTGAAACATCAGGTTTTCTTTTGACTGGAATTTATATAACATATAGTTGAAATAGCAGTAAATGGGTGAGAAAGATGTTTTTACCTAATATTTTTAATTGTTTCCTTTCTGCACCAGGGAGGAAGTATTTTACAATCTCTTTGTATGTAAAAAAATACACGTATGTGGATTACTGCAGGTGCTGACTAGTCTGTGCTAGCATTCCTCTGTGAGCCTGATGTAGAGAAAAGGCAAGGGATTGCTCAGCTTGGGCCTTGCTTCATCTCCTCGCACTGGAGGACCAGAGCACGGCTCACCCGTCACAGAAGAGTAAGCTGTTAACTGTAACGGGCCAAAATTCTTATATTAGCTCCAAGATCCCACAAACAGAACTTCATTCACTTTTCTTTTTCTTCTCTTTTATATCAGTTATTCCTCAGTCTAGTGATTTAGGACAGAAGCAGATTTCAAACTTAATGGATTTTATGGTTTGGATCATCCTTTGATGTTAAGGCTGTACTAAGGGACATACTACAATAATGACTTCAACATCAGAGCATAAGACAGTCTCTTCTGCAAAGGTCCCATTCAAAATGCCTCTATCAGCACAGGTATTGGTATTTCAGAGAGTAGGGGAAAAGCTGAGCCGCCTCCTCCTCACCCCTCTTCCCTTAGGAGGGTTTGCTCGAGGGGGCTGCTCCCCTGCAGACATGCGTGACCAGAGAAGGCTGGCCAGAAGTGCACCTGCCTCCCAGTGACGGGGAGCACACAGTGCGCTGCCCTCCTGCAGACTCTGCCTCAGCCCTGGGGAGCAGGGGGGGCATTATGAAGCTAAGAGGCTGCCTCCATGTCTCCCAGCTGGTGGGGCTTCGCAGATGCTCAGCACCTGGCAGCACTCAGCTTTTGGGTGCAGCTGGGCCCCTGGTGAGGGGCCATTTCTCCTCTGTACCTGCTGGTTGACTGCTTGTGCTTGCACCTTTGCTCGTTCACCCAGCCTTGGGGGCTGTAGTGCTCTGAAAAATGCTGCTCTTCACAGTCCAGCCAGGAGCAAGAGTGCTGAAAACTGCGTGCACAAGAGGGAAAGCAAAGGAGAAGAACAATAAAATGAAACAACAAAAATGAAGTACGATTTTGCAGTTCTCTGGTGCTGTGATAGGCGGTTATGGTGCTGAATGGGTTTTTGTGTGGTCCGGGGGTAGAGTCTTGAGTATGTGATTAAGATTGATGTCCTTGCGGGTGGGTAAGTTTTGTACTTACCCTCAGACCTTTGCAGGGTGAGGAGTTGCTTTCATCTGGTTTGCAGGATACAGGGAATCTGCTGCATATTCTTTGTCTCTCTCCTTATTCTCTATAGCTCGTGAGAGGCCCTGGCTGTTCTTCCCCATTCATTTTTCTTTTTTTTTCCTTCATCTTTCCAATGCTCCCACCCATGCCAGGAGGAACAGAAAGTTCCAGCCGGGGAGAATTAGGATTCTGGAGTAAAAATAGATTTTGAGGTTAAATAAAAAGTATCTTCCCACTTTCAGTGTTCTCTGCATCACAGAGACATTCATTTTGAAGTGGCTATTGAAAACCAGGATTTAATTATATCCCGTTTCAGTGATGTGAAACTGAAGTGACAAACTTGAGCCTTTTGTCTTCTAAACCACCATTCTTTATCTTGCATGTTCTCTATAAATAGCAGTCAATGTGTAGGACTATTCCAGAGCTTTGGAGCCCTTTAGATAAGCTTCACCCTTCAAGGGCTCCTGCCTGATGTCCCCTGGCACGTGCTGCTGGAGGAGCTGGCTGGCAGCAGCAGGCCAGCTTGGTGTCACGCCTTGCCCTGAGGCTGCCCCATGGGCTCTTCTCTTCGCTGCTGGCAGTGTTGGGAAGAATGGATTCTTTGAGCTGCACCCCCGTGCAGAGGCTTGCTCAGCCCAGGGGGCTTTTTCAGGGAAGACGGTGACATTGACTTCCCGTGAGCTGCGGCTCCTGTTATGGTGGGGTTAAAAATTATAACATCTGCTGTGGATTGTTCTTTTTTTTTAGCTGGGGTTGGAGAGGAAGAGGATGCCATTGTGGTGCCCTACATACTGTGAAGGGAGGGATAGGAGGAGATCCTTTGTATGTTAGTGAGTCTTCTGCGTGGTAGCCAAGAATTGTGCTAACTGCATAAATTCACAGCAGGATGTTTTAATTGCTTGGAGCTTTGGTCTAATGGTAATGGTGGGCTGGAAGAACTGAACTGGTGATGCAGGGCTTGGGGGAGCTGCTGCAACTGATCTAACAGACTGAGACCAGCCCAATGTGAAAGTAACCCCGGTTTCACT